AAGRGGAGAAAAAGTKKGGGRGGGGGRRRRGRGGGGGGGGGGGGGGGGGGGGGGRGGGAAGGGAWCACACGTTTTTTTTCCCCCCTCCCACCCCACCGTCTCTACATSWGKMKMGRTTTTTKSKGTMTTYCTTTTTTGGCTCGTTTGTTCCTTTCTTAGGGCATACTCACACTAGGACCTTTGCTCTAAGCTGTGGACGCAATTACGGTCAGATTCATCTGGGTCTGGCCGCAATTGTAGTCAGATACATTTAGAAAAGTCCTCGGCTGAGTATGCTGTTATAGTGTGGTTCTTTTTTTTTTAATTTTCTTTGCGCAAAGGGATTTTTTTTCTTGTTTTTAATTACGGGCTCAGTGCCCAAGGCAAGATATACATCCAAAAAAAAAAAAGAAAAAAAAGATATACATCAAAACAAACACTGTTTGTCAGAGGCCAGCTGGGCTCAAACCCTAACTAAGGGGCATATTCACACTAGGACTTTCCTGGATGTATATGACCGCTTTTCCGATCTGGCCTGGATGCACCTGACCTCAATTACGTCCACAAACAAGTGGAAAAAGTACTAGTGTGAGTATGCCCCAAGAGCTGAGCCTCGCCCCTGTAGCGAGAGTTTAGCCATGGGCCACCATCAAACCTTAATCCTCTCTCTACCAACGGAAGTTAAAGAAGAGAAAGGGGGAAAAAAAAAAGGAAAAAGAAAAACAAAAAGAAAGAGACTCGGCTCCTGAGGCTGAGGGCGCCGGTTCGAATCCGAGCTTGCACGGAGGAGGTCCTGTGGCTGATAATGTACAGACTGTACTTCAACCGGGTAACCAGCCCGGAAATCATACCTGGATGTGGTGGCCCGTGGATAAAACCGTTGGATAAGCAGTTGTGCTGGATGAGAGCGGAGTGTGCGACTACTGCCTGTGTGGCGGATGCCTTGTGTGGTGTTGTGTGTGCGTATGTGTGAGTTGAAGGACACTACAGCCATGCAGGGGTGGGGTGGATATCACGACCGGCATGGATCCACTTTCGTACACCTTGTCATGGCTGTAGTGGATAAGAGACTCGGCTCTTGAGGCTGAGGGCGCCGGTTCGAATCCGTGCTTGCACGGAGCAGGCCCTGTGGCTGATAATGTACAGACTATCCATTATGAAAACACGTCTATGCTCTTTTCAACAAGGGGGGATAAGCACTAGCGTCGTCTACTACACCTGAATAGAACAACAGCCGGTCATCGTTTCTGAATCTAGCCTGAAAATGGCCCCAAATACAACTATAATGACTGGGCATTCTATTTGGGTGAAGATGGTGGCAGCAATGGAAAAAAAAATTGCCAAAAAAAAAGAAAGAGTAAAAATTTACTTAAGGAAAAGTAACAACAAACCTTCTTGTTGACTTCTAAAGCATTTTTACCCCTCCGAGGGCGTACTGGCACTAGCAGGACTTTTCCTGGATGTATCTGACCAGAATTACAGCCTGACGTGCATGTATCTGACCGCAATTGCGTCCGGAGCGGAGTCGGAAAAGTCGTAGGGTGAGTATGCTGTGAGAAAGATAATTAAAGCCATCACCGCCGAAATCATGCCTACTCTTAATCCAGAGTGGGCACAAGTGGTAATGACGAGAGCGACCACGGACCTCGCTCCACTACACAACACTCTACATGCATTTGGACACTTTCTGGACCTGATACATTCAAATTGTTGCACTTGTAGGAATGCACTTGGTCCAGAAAGCGTCAAAATGCATGTACAGTGTTGTGTAGTGGAGCCAGGACCTATGTATATAATCACTACCAGCCAATTCTTGCTTCTATCGCTCCGAGTTTGGACGTCAAGCAAAAAGCTAAGAAGGCGGCAATCAACGAGGCCCTTAGCTAAACTTAATAGGCCGAGTTTTTTTCTTCTTATTTTTCTTTTGTATATATAATTAAAAAAGAGGCCCTAAGCTAACAAGCTGAGTACGCAATTGCACCAAGTAAAAACCGATTGCACCAAGTAAAATCCGAGGGAAAATGTGAGCCACACCATTCCTCTCCTCCGTACACCTGTACCCGACATACCAACATAGTCAGGCAAAAATAAGAAGGGTCGATTTATCTAGTTTGGGGCCTAAGCTACCCAGCCATAGTACGCAAGAATCAAGGTAAAAAATGACCCAAGTATGCAAGAGAAAAACTAAGGAAAAAAACCAACTTTTGGGCCGTAATTCCCAGTCGAGTATTAGGCCCTAATTCCCAGCCAAGTATGTAAAAACCAAGGAAAAAAAAACTAACTGAGTATTAGGCCCTAATTCCCAGCCAAGTACACAAGAACCAAGGAAAAAAACTAGTACGCAAGAATCAAAATGACCCAAGTATGCAAGAAAAAAACTAAGGAAAAAAAMCAACTTTTGGGCCGTAATTCCCAGTCGAGTATTAGGCCCTAATTCCCAGCCAAGTATGCAAAAACCAAGGAAAAAAAAACTAACTGAGTATTAGGCCCTAATTCCCAGCCAAGTACGCAAGAACCAAGGAAAAAAACTAACTGAGTATTAGGCCCTAATTCCCAGCCAAGTACCCAAGAATCAAGGGAAAAAAATAAACTAACTTTTGGGCCCAACTCCCAGCCAAGTGTTGGGTCTCTAAGCCCCAGCCAAGTATTGGGCCCTAAGCACCATCCAAGTACACGCAAGAACCAAGGGAAAAAAACTTATCAAGGAAAAAAACCAAGTAAAAATGCTATCGACAATATTCCTTCTGCCTACCACTCGTACCCGGCATACCAAGATCATAACAAGGCATAACAACCTCATTGTCCCAATCGGCAGATGTATAAATAGGCGCGTACAAACGGTGTTGCGATTGCCAACTCCCCCCCCCCCCCCCCCCCTCCCCTCCCCCGCCCTCGCTGCTGATTACCAATAGTAAAAGGGATGCGGAGCGCACTTCGATGAAGCACACTGGAAGTATACAGCCCCGTATTTTGTCTTTTGTGCATGCGGTCAGTAGTAGTGGAGTGAGGCCCAATGTCCTGCTTCCACCAGCCAGCTTGGGAACAACTCCCTCCGCTCGTCCTTGTCTAAAGCAACCATAAGTGAATAACTGCCTGCATTTCAGTCTTTCCTGATAAGGATAGTAGCGTTGTTTTCCTGATAGCTGCCTGCGCTTCAATCTTTCCTGTTCAGGATAGTAGTGTTGCTCCTCTGACACGACGCAGCAAAACTGTGTGTGTCTAGCTTCGGAACCGTATGCTAAAAATAGGTTCCGTATCTGAGACCAGCTGCGCAAAAAAGCCCCAGCTGGCGCTGGATGTGGAGGATATGTAGTAGGAGAGACAAAGCGCCCTGATCTTGGCTCCGTATCGAGTATAAAGGGAGAAGTCTTGTCAATAGGCAAAATTAGTGAAGATACCACGAGGAAGAAGTCTTGTAAATACGCAAAATTATTAGCGAACATACCATGGAGAAGGGGCCACAACCCACTGCTAGCACACACGTAAACAAACCTCAACGTTTCAGAATGATATATTTAGATCACCAGCACCCTGCCCAGCTGTTGATGCCGAGCCTAAATTTGTCCTGTGCGCCCAAAAAAACAAACAAACCGGAGCGGGCCTCATTTTGGCTGGCGCCGCCAGCCATGTGTTCGGCCAACGTGTTTGGGCGTTCGCAAAAGCTCCGATCATGTTCGGCCAACGTGTTTGGTCGTTCGCAAAAGCTCTGTGCGACGCAGGTCGTAACTTACTTAAAAAAAACACCTAGGCTACCAGCTGGGCCGCCCGGGTCACCTTTTTTCCCAGGCGGCCTGTCCGTGCAAGGAAGGACCCGAGGAGGTCCCAGCAAAAAAAAAAAAAATCCAAAAAATCCGGAAAAAACTATGTTATGGAGAAAAATAAACTGAACAACTTTTGCCTCAGGGTCACATGGAAATTCCTTACCAAATTTAAAATAAAAATAAAAATTAGAAAATATATTTTTATTTTTTTTGACCTGGGCGGGCAAGTGGTACCGGGCCAGTCTGGTAGCCTGGCAAAATATGCTATTATGCTACTAGGCTGTTTGTCCCGGCGTCCGTGCACCCAACTTGTGCCCGGACACGCCTGAATGCCTGGCCGGGCATAACCCTGGGCAGGGTTCCGGGCAGAGGCCCAGCACAAAAAAAAAAACAATGAAAAAAATCCAGAAAAGATATGTTGTGTGTAGAATTGCAATACAAAGGGTCATATCAGTTAACTTCCACTGGTTAACGTGGGTCAATTTTAAGGAAGCTGATGTTTGATGATGAGTATACAGCTTGTCTTGGCTTTGTCCTGATCGCTGTTTACTGCCTGCTTTGCGTGCGTTGGCGTGCTTTGCGTGCGGTCTTGTATCATCCATATCAGACCTCACGGATTTGAAGATAAAAACGAAAAAACTACAGAATCAGACTAAGGCACCCACCTTTAGACCCCCCCTTTAGACTCCCTGAAAACCAAGTTGTACCCCCTTGTTAAGGAGCCCAGATTTGGCCTCCTCTGGTCATGCACAGAAAACCTCCACGCCCAAAAAAAAAGGGGAAAAAAAAAAAAGAAGAGAAGGGGCTGATTTTTGCCTGCAAGGGGTGCGAGCCAGGGAAAATTTGAAAATTACATCGCCGTCGGGAAAGATTAGACCCCCCCTTTAGAACCCCTGAAAACTAATTTGTATCCCCCTGTTCCCCCCTTGATAGCCAACACTCAGAAAAAAAAAGAGAGCCCAGGTTTGGCCTCCTCTGGCCATGCACAGAAAACCTCCACGCCAAAAAAAGAAAAAGAAAAGAAGGAGGTGATCTTTGCCTGCAAGGGGTTCGATCCAGGGAAAATTAGAAAATTAGATCGCCGTCAGGGGAAATTATAAAATTGTTAAATTCGAAACCTGTTTCATGGGTATTGTGTGCGAGCCGCGATTGACCGAAGCTTCTGTTGCGAATGCTGCTGTTGATTCTGCGCAGGTGGGGCACGATTGACTAAAGCGGGGTGTTTCATCAGATTGGCTATCAGAGGGGTCTGCGATGGGTCGCAGATCGTCATCAGGGGGATCATGGGGTGGCTACTTGCATGCTGCGTACTACATCCGCCGACCGAAGAAATTTGCACTCATCTGCGGGCTGTTCATTGTGGCAATGCTGATTCTGATGGATCGACACAGCGCAGCTCGAGAGCTTAAGGTGAGGTTCGGCAAAGCGATCGAAGGAGCAGGGCCCCATTGGTGGTGTTATCTATGTTCATGCTTGGGAAGCTTGAACCTAGTCGTCAAAAGAGTCAGGTTCATGCTTTTGTAGCATGAACATAGCAGCAGAGGGGAGAGGGCGGGGGAGGGGGAGGGGGGGGGATGGATGACTATGCTAGAGACCGGGTTGCACAGATGCTTGCTGCCATGCAGCATGACATGGATGCTTTCTGGTCCACGCTGATGCTAGGGACTTCTTTGACTCGCCTCTGGGCGTAATTGCGGTCGGATAGGGCGGGGGAGGGGGAGGGGGGGGGAATGGATGACTATGCTAGAGACCGGGTTGCACAGATGGTTGCTGCCATGCAGCATGACATGGATGCTTTCTGGTCCACGCTGATGCTAGGGACTTCTTTGACTCGCCTCTGGGCGTAATTGCGGTCAGATGCGTCCAGCAAGCGTTGTAACTGCAGTCCGATACATCTAGAAATGTCTTAGTGTGAGCATGCAGAATGACCTTAGCTGCTTTCTTTGTCTGCATCGGCGTCGTCCATGCTAGAATGCAACTGAGGGCATGCTCAGACTGTGACTTTACTAGACGACGTATCTGACGGCAATTATGTCCAGATTTGAGACGAAACAGTCCGAGTGGGATTATGGAACTGAGGAAGGAACCAGGGGAAGGGTTGCATGTGTGTCTGGGCTTGGAATTTGATCTGGATCTGTGGGACCGGGAGCCGGACTGGAACCGGCAGTTGGGTTGTGAGCGTGCTGGTATGAAGGACCGCTCTCGGAGTAGGGAGTTGAAGAAGGGGCCGGAGTAGGGTTGTGGATGCAATTGCTGTCTTCACCCGAGCAGAAAGCCCGGTCATTATAGCTGTATTTGGGACAACTTTCGGTCCAGATGCAGAGATAATGACTGGGCATTCTATTCGGGTGACGATGGTAGGCTTGGAATCTGGGCTGGGACGGAGATTGGGTCTGAGTCAGGGAGCACGACTTACGTTGCGAGCATGCTGTTGCCAGGGACTGGTCTGTAGTAGGGGGGGCTGTGAAACCAGGCTTGAAATTTGTCCTGGGCCTAGGACGGGGGCTGGGACTGGGTCCTTCCACTGAGTTTGGTACTGGGACTAGGAATGGGCCTGGGACTGGGTCTGGGATGGGGTCAGAGGCTTGAAATTTGTCCTGGGCCTAGGACGGGGGCTGGGAGTGGGTCCTTCCACTGGGTTTGGTACTGGGACTAGGAATGGGGCTGGGAGTGGGTCTGGGATGGGGTCTGGGGGGTGTTGTGGAATCAGGCTTGAAATTTGTCCTGGGCCTAACGCTGGGGCTGGGATTGGGTCGTTCCACTGGGTCTGGTACTGGGACTAGGACTTGGGCTGGGACTGGGACTGGCTCTGGCATGGGGTGCGACCCATCGCACAATGGGTGCAGACTTGCGTTGTAATTGGTCTCAGACATGGGAGTTGGATCGTGAGTGGGTGAAGGATCTCGATGGATTCTTCACTATCATTCGTTTTATCATTGTGGCTGTGATCTGCGTCTGCCTCTCTGCTTGTTTGTTTGTTTGTTTGTTTGTTTGTTTGTTTACTTGTCTGTTTGCGTTGTAATTGGTCTCAGACATGGGAGTTGGATCGTGAGTGGGTGAAGGATCTCGATGGATTCTTCACTATCGTTCGTTTTATCATTGTGGCTGTGATCTGCGTCTGCCTCTCTGCTTGTTTGTTTGTTTGTTTGTTTGTTTGTTTGTTTGTTTGTTTGTTTGTTTGTTTACTTGTCTGTTTGTTTGTGTTCAGCTGCTAGAAGAAAAGCTCAATAGGTTGAAGGCGGATCGTAAGACGCTGGAAGATAAGGTATGTTTTCAGTGCTTCGCTCCCTGTCGTTTACATGCAGGTATGTTTCCGTGCTTTTGTCGGTGTCACTTACATTCTTTCTTTGTACCTTTCATCCGCTGCCTGTTTCTCCCATGGCTGTCTTGTTCTTAGTAGTTCACACAAGTCTCTAGGGTCTGTGGTGGGAGGCAGAGAAGGGGGCTCAAAGGGAAGAGGTGTGTGTGTGTGTGTGTGTGTGTGTGTGTGTGTGTGTGCGCGATTGGAGAATCAGGTTGTCTACATCCATCACGCAGGTTGTCTACATCCATCACGAGGTCCGATTTCCTCAAAGAAAATGCAGTGAGATGGGCGTGGGCATGTAGTGTTGAGCCTGGGCATGGAGGGGGTAAGAGTAAAAATGAACATCGGGGACCTAGTGTTGAGTCTGGGTATGGAAGGGAGACGGGTAATGATGAACATCGGGGGGACTTTAGGGGTGGGCAAAGTGAGAATGCTACCGGAGACAACAGTTAGGCCTACGTAGTGGCAGGAACGGTTTCTGTGGGACCGAGGCCCCCCCTCCCCCCCGATCATGTATAATGAGTCTCTGGGTACATAGCCCTGTCCCCCAGCCACTATATATGCTTGGGAAGAGGATGTGCAGTAGGTGGCCCATAAACCCTCCTTAGGCCCCCCAGTACAGTGTCTCGTGCGGCAAGGGTATTAGGCTGAACACTCCTCTGTCGCTTCTCGAACAAACTTGTGGAGCGCTTGCCGGCGATGAACAACCGAACTGATGCCCCCCTGAATAGAAGGGGCCTTTGCTTGTGTCAGAAAAAGAAACAAAAAGGCAAAAAAGGAAAGTGCACTGTGCAGTACAAACATCATCAATTATGTGAGTCGCGTCCACTTTCTTTTTATTTTGATAAAAAAAAATTAAAAAGAGAAATTTGGCCACGATCCACCCCCCTCCCCCCAAAAAAGAAGAGGAAACAAAAAGCGAAAAAAACAAGAAAATTTTGGCCAGCTAGCGGAAGTTTGAATTGGTGTGTGTTGCTGGCTATGTATGTATGATGGCCTCCACAACCTTTTTATTTTTTTTATTTTTTTATTTTTATTTTTTATCCACAACCTACTTTTTGCTCGAATGCCTCTATCTATAGATTTGAAGATTTGTCTTTTTTTTTTTTTTTAATAAATGCAATGTGTGAAGAAAGTTTCTGCTCGAATTTTGGTGCGCACGGCCAAGCCCTGCCTTGTCGAAGAAGAGTGAAACTCTGTAACACCACTAACTAGGACATTTTGGAGTGAACTTGGCCGTCATTGCAGTCAGATACAGCCAGCAACGTCAGATGTGAGTGTGCCCTCTTAAACCGCCAGTACACGGCCCAAGCCTTGCTGAAGAAGAATTTTGTAGCCTACAAAAGTTTCGGAGGCTCGGCCTCTACCGGACCACAATGGCTGGCGACACCAGCCAAAAAAGAATAAAAGCGCACTGCTGGGGGTTCGAAAAAGCTTAGTGCAGTAAGGGGCCTGCAGGCCCGGGTGTGCTGGTGGTTTAAGGGAGCACGCTCACTTTGACTTTGCTCTGGCTGTATCTGACTGCAATGACGACCAAGTTCACTCCAAAATGTCCTAGTTAGTGGTGTTACAGAGTGACACTCTTCTTATGTACTCGCTCCGAACTTTTTTTTTTTTTTTTTTTTTACTTCCTTTGCTTTTCCTTTTAGCGACGGCGATGGCCGTGAGATATCGTGATCGAACTGACTGGGGGCCTAGGTAATTAAGAATTGCTGTTTTTTTTTTTTTTTTTTTTTTTTTTTTTTTTTTTTCCTTTCAGAATTGTAGTGTTTTACTCGTCTGCTTCCAGTGGAGTTTTGAACTCAGCACCTAGTCTGTATTTTAACGGTTCATGGATCTACCGACTGAGCTAGGCCAGTTGTTCGCGCCGTATTTTTTTGATGCTGTGGCAGATCAACCAAATTGTGAAGACCAATGATATTCATGGGCCCGGTGGAACAGATGGCGGCGATCTGGACACGGAGAAAAATGAAGAAGTGGTTGCTGTGGGGAAGGAGGGTCAGCCAGGTGGGAAAGAGACCGGTGTGCAAGGTGATGACGGTATCTCGGGACGGGATTCTAATTCCAAGAGAAATCGGAAAGTTGGACCACTGGAGACCGAAGCAGTCTTGAGGGGCCACACGCAGAGCGAAGAGGAGCTGGAGAATGAAAGGAGACGAGAGGCTGTGAAGGACGCTTTTCTGCATGCATGGAAGGGCTACGAAGATTACGCGTGGGGGATGGATGAACTACAAGTGAGTGCTTTTTTTTTTTTTTTTTTTTTTTTTTATAAATATGCATGCATGGAAGGGATAGGATAATTGTGTTTTCTCAACTACAACAACACAAAAAAAAACATGCTATAGTTCTGAATTACCTACGGCCGGTCTGTTCAGTTCGAACTTCGATGAGCATATCTCAAGCCCGTCGCCCTTTTGAAAGAAAAAGAAGGGAAAAGAAAGAATTCCGTGTGATGTCCTATATAGACTTAGGAGTAGTGGTAGGTAAGTAGTGAAAAAAAGGCGAAAAACAAATTTGAGAGAAGAATATAGAGTAGTTTTGTATTATTAAAAAAAAAAAAACTACTGACTTTAAACCACCGCTCCCCCCCACGTCGTAAAGTAAGGGGGACCGGTAGGCCGATATTAGTATTTCACCTTCGGCCTACCGGTAGTACAGGGTGGGCCTCACTTCATTCTTGTTTTTTTTTTTTTTTTACTCTGAAAAAAAAAAACGAAACGTAACTGCAGGTGCCACCGCATTTCATGCCTGAATCCACTGCCCCTGACACACATGGATGATTGCGGTGTACATTTCCGTTTTCTGCTGGAAGGTTCACTGCATGTTTTTTTTCTGTTTTTTTCTAGGCTACCAGAGTGGCCCGGGGTCACTTGTCTGGCCGGGCCAAAAACAATTAAAAAAAATAAATAAATAAATTATTTTTAAAATTTATCTTTTTTTCTAAATTTGGTGCAGAATTTCGATGTGACCCTGAGGCAAAAGTTGTTCAGTTTATTTTTCTGCATAACATAGTTTTTTTCCGGATTTTTTTGATTTTTTTTTTCTTGGCTGGGACCTTCCCTGGTCCTTGCACGGGCTGGCCACCGGGACCCGGGCGACCCGGCTGGTAGCCTAGTTTTTTTTCCCCAAAAAAAAAACAAAGAAAATGAAAAGTGCAGCGCCTGAAATGAAAGCCGTGCGCCGAAAAAAAAAAAAAAAAAAAAATTCTTTTTTACTAGGTCGCCGACCCCCCTCCATTTTCGGCCCTAACTCCCCGGGAAGTCGACTTTCGGCAATGAGGGGGAGTGGTGGTTTAAAGCACCACTACCTTTCTCATATGTGGGACCGTGGACCTCAAAGTCAAATTCAGCCGCGACGCGCCGTCCATGAAAAATATCAACGGCGGCGTGGTGCCTATGTTTCAGGAGTAGGCTACTAGATGCCCGCGGCCGACGTTTGGGAAAGGTAGCAGTGGTTTAAAAAAAAAAAAAAAAAAACTAGGCTATGAGAGTGGCCCGGGACCACTTGAATTGCTGATAAGGATGGATATCCCGTAGCATCAAGAAGTCCAAGCAAGCACAAACACAAGCAAAGGACACGTAGATGCTGGATATCTCAAGCACAAGGTATCGAAGTACAGTAGTACGAAAGTACAAAGAAGTACAATAGTACGAAAGTACAAAGTACAAAGCACTAAAAAAAAAAAAAAGCAAAAAAAAAAACAAAACAAAAAAAAAACAGTACAAAGCACTGAATGATTGCACGCCGGTGGGTATGGCACCCCGACCGGTATCGACCGCCTCCACGCGGTCCTCCTCCGGGGGATTACCACCAAAACTTCAACCCTCGTCAAAATCCTGCATACCGCTCTCCTTCCTCCGCCGTCTACCCGCAAACAGCTAAGCTTGCGGGAACAGAGCAAACGTAGCACCCAAAAGGCCGAAAGACGCTACAATCATTTGACATATAGTCGTCCACAAAACAGTAACTGACTAGCATTGACAGACAAAACCGAAGACTGACAAAGTTCATACCAGGTCAAGGCCGTATGCCCCGTGGCATAAGCCACCCACTTCCTAAGGCCTGGCCACTCGATCGATGCTTATCCTACTGGGTCTTCTAGTGCCAAAACATTAAAACCAAGAAACAAAAAAGACGGAAAAACGAAACGGCGGCGGTTCAAGTCCCCCCGCTGCTACTCAACAGCAGTCCAAGCCCCTGCTGCTGCTTAACAATTATATCAAATCCCTGCCGGGATGCAGAGTACAGGTACAGGGTCCGAGGCCTGTGCTGTACTTCAGCTCATAACCAAGAGCAGACAAAGGGAACAGGGGTAACAGTTGAACTTTGAACCCTGCCGCCACTTACCAATCTCACGAATCTGTAAAAAACAAAGCGGTCGGTACAAATCTGACTACAATGGCTCATGCACAAAATCAATACGAACTAAATCAAAGAGCTACTTCATTCACAGATATAGGCCTCCTCTGTTCCATTGCGCCGCACTACATCCTGTTATCTTGATTCACACACTACCACAGGGTACTTCATTCCCAGATATAGGCCTGACCCTGTTAAATTACACCGCAAAAAACATGTTAACTTCTAACAGAAAAACAACTAGCAGTTGCCTAGCCGGGGCAAAAAAAAAAAAAAACTTAATTAAAGTAAAAAATATTTTTTTCCCCTCTATTTTTTATTTCAAATTTGGTAAAGAATTTCGATGCGACTCTGAGGCAAAAGTTGTTCAGTTTATGTTTCTGCATAACATATTTTTTTTCGGAGTTTTTTTTTTTTTTTTTTTTTTTTGCTGGGACCTTCCCTGGTCCTTGCATGGCAAGGCCGCTCGGGAAAACAGTGTGGCAAAAAAGGAAAAAAAATCCAAGAACTCTCTGTTATGCTGAAAAATAAACTGGGGCATGGTCCCACTAGCAACGGGATAGGAATCATAGGGTAGAAAAGAGTTTGTGTGGCAGTTGAGCGGCCCAAATCCTGCCGTCCAGTACTCGTGAGTGATCCGACGGACAGTATTTTTTAGATGTATTACCCAAAAAAGTAAGGAGATGTTTGTTCAGGAGATCTTTGTTCCCCTACTCCTCTCCTTTTAACACTGGGCATCCTGTGCAAAGGACGCTTCCCACCAAAATCTTTTCAATCCGTTTGGGTTATGGCCAATCCCAAAAGACGGTGGGATCGACCATACGCCCCCTGCATAGAAGATTGTCAGTATTTTGCTTGCTGTTGTGCAAAAATTATCTCATTGGGTGGAGCCCTCCTTCAATCACAGACAATATGGAGGGCGTCATGATCGCTGCGGACAGAAGTCGAGTTTCTTCCAGAAAAAATGTGGCAGTTACTTTGTTCACTGTTGTTGCAACCACCACCATCGGATCATTTTTTTGTGATCTGATGGCTGGGAAGCAATCTGCCGTGATTTCCAATGGGAGGTCTCTGTTCCCTTTTTTTTTTTTTTTTNAAAAACTCATCCTATATTGGTTGATTCTTGGTTCTGCCCATACTCATTGGAGTATGTAACACTCTCTCTCTCTCTCTCTCTCTCTCTCTCTCTCTGCCTGCTCTACCTCTTACCGTTTCTCAACTCTAGCTCACTCTCCCTCCCTCCCTGTCACCCCCAATGCTCCCTCGTCTGCCATCCTCCAGGTTGTGCTTAAAACGTGCTCGAGCAGTTGAATCGCTGTGATTGTGGCTGCAGTTGCTCGATCAACCTCGGATCTTACTCCCGGTCTCTCTGTGTCTCTCCCGCTGTCCCCCACCCTTATGCCGGGCTTGTGTTTGCTATGTTGCAAATTTCATGAAGAGAGATGGATTTGTGAGACTGTCCGTTGCCGGAGGTTCAGGTCGTCAGTTGCAAATTTCATGAAGAGAGATGGATTTGTGAGACTGTCCGTTGCCGGAGGTTCAGGTCGTCAGTTCTCGAAATGTATGGTTGTAGTTGTGCCAGTGGTCATCGGTGGACATCGGCAGCAGATCCCTGCACTTGGCTTGCATTGCCAGGATGGCCCCACAACTTTTTTTTTTTTTTTTTCATTTGTTTCTCTTTGAAGAGTGGTAGCCGACTGGAATTATTACATTAATTTGATTGCAGTGAGATTCGAACTCCTGAGCTGTTTACTAAATGTTGCATGTGTCTGTCATTCGGCAACATGGGCTAGGTGCATTGTATTTTGTTCAGGAAAAGGAAGAAGGGAAGGGTGGTGGTTACACAACGGGGGCCTAGCTCAGTTGGTACACCCAAATGAACTGTTGGAAGGAGAAATGTCGCATGCCTGCCTGCCTGCGTTCAACAGTGAGAAGTTGTTGATCTATGGCTCTGCCAATTTATCGGCTTTCAGGGCTTAAGCTAGGGCTTTTTGAACCTGTTTCTGGACGTTATTGCAGTTAGATGCATCCATGTTTGGTCGTGATTGCATCGCGATACATCTCGTACGGAAGTGCGAGTACACTCTCCGTCCGATGTAACTCTTGCATCCAAGCTCGTCACGGAGCGGAAATCCCGGTGTTAATTTAATTTACTTAGACGAAAGAATTTGAGAGATGCTGCTTTCGCCAATGGCAGCCAGCTTAATCCACTAGTACACGGCCCCAGCCTTGCAGAAAGTTTTTGTCGCCACACGCAAAGCTCGGAGAAGCTGCGCGGCCAGGGGCGCTGTTGAAAACAAAGATCGGCGGCCTCCGAAGTGGTGAGGGTTTTGTGCTGACACCCGCGGGCCGCTGTGTGGTGTACTGGAGCCTTAACGGATCCGGGGATAAGAACTGTACGTACCTTCAGATGCAACATAGCGACACGAGAAGTGTATGGCAAATCTGTCAATCGATCAAGAAAAGCCTAAAAGAGTACACACATCTGCCAACCGATCACATGCCCGTCATGGCCAACTCAAAGTGGTGGCTATCGTGGTAACTCCATACGCTATCGTGGGAACTCCATACGCCCCATGGGAAGAGGGTATGTATGGGTTGGGTTGTTCTAAGACGGTCCGGTTCTCTCTCGTCTCAGTCTTTTGTGAATGGCTTTGTTTTATGTTCTTTCTCATTCCCACTTCGTTTATGTTCTTGCTCATTGCCAGCTAATGTGGTCCTGACTTGTCAATTGGAACTCGAAAGTGGAACTCGAAAGTGGAACTCGAAAGGGTGAAAAGAGGGACTAGCAACGTGTGGGGCGCTTCTGAACTACGTAATGCCTTCCCTGACCCTCCTATCCACTATCCACTGTCCACTGCCCACGCCTTCACAAGACTATGAATGCAAGGCTATGGGTGTTTTGAGTATAGGGACTCTTGTCCTTGGACCCTTACAAGAGTGTAACTCTGTAACACCACTAGGACATTATGGAGTGAACTTGGCCGTCATTGCAGTCAGATACTGCCAGCAAAGTCAAATGTGCAGCTTCTTGCTTGTTGCTGGAGCATATGGGGTGAGAAGGGTGGGTCATATGACAGGGTTTTCTGAAGTGGTAGTGGTTTTGTGGGCTCCTCTCCGGGGGGGAGGGGAGGGGGAGGAAGGGAGGAGGGGGAGGTAGTTTTGTCTTTCGACCCTTAGCATTGTGAATTGCGATGGCCTATATGTGCAGCTTCTTGCTGTTGCTGGAGCATATTGGGTGAGAAGGGCAAGTCATATGACAGGGTTTCCTAAAGTGGCCGTAGTTTTGTGGGTTCCTCTCTCTCCTTTCCTTCTCGTTGCTGGTTTGTTCCTCTGTCCAGCTGGTCTGGCATGTCTGTGAGTTTCTGTTTGTGTGGCATGTGTGACTTCCTGCCTGTGGGACGTGTGTTTGGCATGTCTTTCTGACATTCTGTGTGTGTGGCATGTTTGTGATCTGCTTGCTGTTGCAGGGTGTTGGGAGGCTTGTTGAGTGCTTATGACTTGTCAGGAGATAAGCGCTTGCTCTTGAAGGCGAAGGAGCTGGCAGATCGACTTCTGCCTGCTTGGCAAAGCCCCTCTGGCATTCCCTACACAACTTTGAATCTTGCATCTGGTCGCACATCGAATGCGGGATGGAGTGGGGTAAGTGCTGTGTCCTTTCGGCTTACGCGATTGCTGCGACAGAACATGGCATTCCCTTCACAGACTGCCCTGTCAGGAAACCATGCCTGCCTCCTCTTCGCCCTCAAAGTTGGACAGATTTCTCTTTTACACCCCCCCTCTCTCTCTCGCGCGCGCTCTCCCTCTCCCTCTCCCTCTCCCTCTCTCTCCTCATTTCGTTGAATATGTGTACAACAAGGTGGTGTCTTTCAGCTTTGCCTAGTTTTTTTTTTTTTTTTTTTTTTTTTTTGGGGGGGGGGGGGGGGGCATTGTGTGCTTCTCCCTGCTACCCATTGCATTGCGCTACAGTCATCCTGCTCCCCATTGCTCTACCGAGACCCTGCTCCCTTCGACATCAGATTGTGTGAATGTGCTAACCTCCCCCCCCTCTCTCCCCCTCCTCTCTCATCCTAGATTTGCAGAAACGCATGGGAGCTCATGTCAAGGGCACGTTTCGCCTTTTCAATTCGGACTGTGCAAATGTGATCCATTCTGTTATCATATCGGCAGGAAGCATGCAGTGCTGGTTTTTATGCACAGCGGGCACTCAGTGTGTGTGTGTGTGTGTGTGTGTGTGTGTGTGTGTGTGTGTGTGTGTGTGTGTGTGTGTGCTTGCGTGCGTGTGCGTGTGCACGTGGGTGTTTGTGTGTGCGTGTGTGTTGGCATGTTTGCTGTGGACGACTCCACAAACGAAGCATGGCTGTGCGCGAGAGTGTTTCGTGGGACTTTCATTGTCTCGTCATGATGTTGAATGCCGGCAGTCTGCCCAGAATGCATTTGACTGATGGAGAATGGCTCGCCATGTCGCCCAGAGTTTACCCCTGAGAAAAGTGTGAGTGTGTCTGTACGTGTGTGTGCGTGATTGGATGACGAGGAGTGAGGCCCGGGAGAGCTAATTGGGAAATTTAACTGCAGGGTTCACAATAGATTGATCTCCGTGAGATGATCTCCGTGAGATACAAGTGCTCTCCTTTTGTACTCTGAGCTGTTAGCTCTCTTGCTGGGCTTAAAATGTCGCGCAAGGCAGCACATGCTCTTCACTCTCTCCATCATTTGGTCTCTTTCATTCGCCTGATAGATTGTTAGATCTCCCCCCCGGACATAAATACTTTCTCTCTTTTTGCCCTTTGCTACTCTGAGCTGTGCAGCGCTGAGCAAGTGATTGTCGTCGGCTATGTTGTGTTTCCCTTTCTGTCCCTTCTTTTTATTTTTTGTTTTGGGTATAAAGCAACTTCCGTCTTCACCCGAGTAGTTCGCCCGGTCGTTATCACTGCATCTGGACTGAAAGTTGCGCCAAATGCAGCCAGCTATATTGACCGGGGGGGAGATCTATCCGGGTGAAGAAGACGGTAGTCCCTTTCATTATTGTAGTCATCTGGTTCCTTCAGGATTTGAACTCATGATCTCTGTTTACTAACAGTTACACCTGTGTACCCCATTCACGCGCATGGGTTAGGTATATCCTTTTTTTCTTTTTTCCCGAACCAGTTGCTCTAATCTATTTGTGGGGACTGGAGGGTACATGGTCCTGAAG